GCAGCCGTGGTGTCATATATGCCCGAACAAGGCCAAGTGAGAGGAGAGGTCTAACCTGATGCTTTAGTATGCCCACTTTGTACCGGTATCTGTGATCTTTGGAAATGCATTCGGACTACAAAAGCACCCATGTACGTCAGGTGGTTTTCGGAAATCCATTGCTAATCGTGTCACTGCAGAGGTGCCGTTCAACTTTGGAGATAGAGCTAGTTGGCAAATTTTTGAAAGAACAATGCTCCAGGAGAACGTGCTATTCTATAGAAACTAAACTGCTTCACAAAGTTGGGTTGATCGAGATTGAATTTCAGTTTGGAATAACCCTGGGGAAGAAGTGTTGACAGCGAGATAACGTGTTTCGTCTTCTTTAGAACTGATTTTTCCCGTTGAACTTTTCTTTTTTTTTTGTCTTCTCAAAGGCAAGACAACATGGTAAAAAGTACAAAATTGCGACAACGTGGGATGGACCAGAAACATTTTTTTAATTGACTCTTTCCTTCACAGACACTTTCAAGTTTTATAATCATTCAGGTGAGGCAGAGACAGTCAAAGAGCCTGAGGCTGAATCGATTCAGTCTTTGCAGGTTAGTCTAAACTGCACAGATTAAATTCAGACAGAAGTGAACAGACATTTTACCTCTGAATCAGGAAATGCAGCCACAGGCCTGCAGCGGCTCAGGCCAGAAGCTGGGGCAGGGGGCACTAGAGCACGGCTCTCTGGCTGTGTGTTTACTTCCTTTTCCTGCTGCCTCTGAAGTCTCTGGGATTCGCAGTCCAGAATCACAGCAGCTGGACTCTGCAGGGCTGCTCGTCACTTCCTCTTCCTGCTTCCAGGTGTCTCTGGGATTTGTAGTCTGCAGTCGCAGCCAGCAGTACATTTGAGCAGGGGAAGGGGTGTTTAGCCCCGCTCCCTGGCCCCAGACCTGAACTGGGGTTTGCCTGGAGGCGGCAGTCCCTCTCTGCAGACTGGGCTTCATCCCCAGCCAGACTTGTCGCCCCCTCCTTGTCAGCCAGCCCTCACTGCTCTTGCTAGGAAGCAGAGGGGTGGGGCCATCCCTGCTTTTTGGAGCAGACAGCACAGCCCAGCCCAGCCCAGGGCTGCAGAGCATGCTGGGATGCTGGGGGACTGTGATTTAACTTAAACCAGGAAGGGGTCTGGCTGGGACAGAAGTTTCCTAAACCAGTTTGACCCAAATCAGTTAAGCCCGATACTACATTCAACCAGGTTTCTCCTAAACCAGTTTCAGCCATTTTGAAACTGGTTTATGTGCACTGAGCTTCTGTTCTGTTACAGGTTTAGACCAGTTTCTGCTCATTTAACCTGGTTTGTGTGTATCTTCTGTCCCTAGAGCTAGAACGGAGCGCCCGTTCTCTGCTCAGATTGCAATGGAAATCCATTGTGCTAGGGGCTGTACTTTCTCTTCCACATGAAGAAAAAGTTCCTGACCTGAAGCACTTAAATAGCTAAGATCCAGCATGGGATAAAGGCAGGATTTTTATCCTGATTTGATCCTGAAAGTAACAAGACTTTGCCAGGGTCACAGCTGGAGCCCACGGCAGAGCTGAGAACTGAATACCAGTCTCCTGAGTCCCAGCTCAGTGCCTTCACCATAATATTATCTTCTTCTCTTGTCTCTCTCTGGTCCTTCCCTTCCTTATTGTCGGTCGGTAAAGATGCTACAGAAGTTGCTTCTGCCTCCGGTACTACCTAACAAATGGACTTCCCAATGCTGCCTGCTGCCCCAATATGATGGGTGCAAGCAATAACCTAAGACAACAAAAATCCAGGATCTGAATCAATTTGCCAGCAAGGAAGTTTTGATTTTAAAGGTACAGTCATGCTTCTGGCTGATCTGAGCACTGCCCTGAACGTTTGGGCCTGCATGCTTGCAGACTCACAAAGGCCCTGAAAGGGAGCAGGCTTCATGCAATTTGAATGCATTTATCCCTCCTGGATTTAGCTTGCACAGTATGGGTGGAGACTAGCTTCTGGATTTTGAGGCCATCTGCCCTGTCCAGAACTGGCCAGCAAAGATCCTGGATCTTTACACTTGGTGGCAGGGAGGAAATCACTGTCCTCAGGCAACATATCATGGGGGAGGTCTGAACTGACAGCAAGCTGCCCTACTCAGTGAGATAACTTCAGACTGGTCTCCATATTAACACACATCAGGGGAAAAACCAGTCTGACAAATGGCTAACTAATGCCCTTAGTAGATTTGTTCTGCGTCTAATGTTTGTCACGTTGTGAAACATGGTAAAACCTCACATCGTTTTACGTAGCAAGTATCATTTGGGCTAAATCATCCCAAATGGGAAAGAGGGTCCTTTAGGTAGGAAGTTCAGGTGATAAGATAGGAGAGGGCTCAGAAAGAGCATTGAAAATTGACTTTATTGACCTAGCTTCCAAGGAGACTTCCCGTGATTCTTGAATCTAGCAAAGGAAGGCACGAGAGGAGCCAAGGGCTGGAAGGTGGAGCCATAATCAAGCCAGAAATGAGGCATGGATTGGTACCAATAGACATTTAACAACTTGAAAGAGCTGCTAAGGGTGGGGTGGATTCCCCATCTTCTGAAGTTTTCAGGTCCAACTTAAAGGTCTTTTTAGGAGACAAGCTTTAGATGGCCGCAAATGAATAGGCTCCATGCAGGGGGAACATGTTGTTCAATCCCAGAAGTCAGACTGGAGGATGTAATGTTGTATTCGCGCCTCAGGATCTGCCAAAGGGACATGAAAATAAGGCAGACGACTCGGTAGCACCATGTCTTGTATGTCCAACATGCACAGGCGGGGCTATGGCAATCTCTGTGTGCACTTGTCTATGTGCCGAAGTCAGGGTCTGCAAAACAAAATAGGGCTTAGATTAATTATAGGAAATTCCTGAACAAAACCACCCCAAAGCGTGAGCTTTCACACTTGAGCTTAAAGGATATTTAAGAGGAGGTATTTAAGAGGAGATTGGACAAACACCTGCCTGGGGTCATCTGACCCCAGCGCTCTTTCCTGCCCAGGGCAGGGGTCAGACTCAGTGATCTAATAGGTCCCTTCTGACCCTGATATCTAGGAAATCTATGATACACATATATACACACATACATATTTACATACACCTTTGTGAAAGTTAATACATATATATTAACCTTCACAAAGTCGCCTCGTTATCCTCTCTCAGGATATCCATTATCTGTTAGCTACTGATGAGCTTGAGTGATGCTGACCAGGGCAACCTCCTTGTTTCCTTATACTTCCATGTAGGCCCCTGGTGTCTTTTGTCCTGTATTTAGGTAGAAAGCTCTTTGTGACAGAGACCATCTTTTTTATTTTGTGTTTCTACAGCCCCTAGCATAGTTGAGTCGAGCTGTACAGCTAGGGCTGTGATACCTTGGTCCTGGGGAGAATTATCCTGGCACACGTCTGCGAGGGGCTAGCAGGGGAGACTATGCTCAGGGGTGACCAACATGGGTTCATTAGGGGCAGGTCCTGTCAGACCAACCTGGTGGCCTTCTATGACCAGGTCACAAAATCCCTGGATGCAGGTGTCACGGTGGATATAGTCTTTCTGGACTTTAGGAAGGCCTTCGACATGGTCTCTCACCCCACTCTCATTAAAAAACTAGGAGACTGTGGTGTCGATGCCTACACAGTCAGATGGGTCGCAAATTGGCTGGAGGGCCGTACCTGGAGAGTGGTGGTGGACGGGTCATTTTTGACCTGGAGGGATGTGGGCAGTGGGGTCCCCCAGGGCTTGTTCCTCAGACCTGCGCTGTTCAACATCTTCATCAGCGACTTGGACAAGGGGGTAAAAAGCACCCTGTTCAAATATGCAGATGACACTAAGATGTGGGGGGAAGTGGGCACGCTAGAAGGAAGGAATAGGCTGCAATCGGACCTGAACAGGTTACAGGGGTGGGTGGATGAGAACAGGATGGGTTTCAACACTGACCAGTGCAAGGTGCTGCACCTGGGGAGGAAGAGCCAGCAGCAGACCTACAGGCTGGGAGCTCCTTTCTCGTCAGTGCAGAGGCAGAAAAGGATCTGGGAGTCATTATTGATGCCACAATGAACATGGGCCGGCAGTGTGGGGACACGGTTAGGAAGGCCAACCGCACCTTGTCGTGCATCCACAGATGCATCTCGAGCAGGTCCAAGGAGGTGATCCTCCCCCTCTATGTGACACTGGTCAGGCCGCAGCTGGAGTACTGCGTCCAGTTCTGGGCGCTGCACTTCAGGAGGGATGTGGACAGCACTCGCATGATCCAGTGGCAGCAGGGCAGGCCCTACGAGGAGAGGCTAAGGGATCTGAACCTGTTCAGCCTCCACCAGAGGAGGCTGAGAGGGATCTAGTGGCCTGTTACAAACTAGTCAGAGGGGACCAGCAGGCACTGGGGGAGTCCCTGTTCCCCCGAGCACTACCAGGAGTGACGAGAAACAATGGTCACAAGCTGGCAGAGGGTAGGTTCACACTAGACATCCATAGGAACTACTTCACAGTCAGGGCGGCTAGGATCTGGAACCAACTTCCAGGGGAAGTTGTGCTGGCTCCTACCCTGGGGGTCTTTAAAAGGAGTCTGGATGAAACCCTCGCTGGGGTCATTTGACCCAGTACTCTTTCCTGCCATGGCAGGGGGTCGGACTTGGTGATCTGCTCAGGTCCCTTCTGACCTGACCTACTATGAAACACAAATAAAAAATCATAATGAGCTGGTGGTCGGTCGGGCAACCTTGGATAGGATGGGGTTCCTTTTCGTTTGGATCAGTGATTCTCAACCAGGGTGCTGGGGTATCCTGGGGTGCCCCAGACCCTTTGAATGGTGCCACAAGGTGCGAGGAGATAAGTGAGATATGAAGAGATATGCAGATAAGCTAGGACAGGATCGCTCAGCCTGCCTGGGTGATCTCCCACCCCTACTGCCCAGCCCCTGCAGACGTAGGAAAGCATTGTAAAATATACATTAATTTTTGAAACTGGGTGCAAAAGCTGTGGAGGGGTGCATCATATCCAGTGAGGGGTGCCTTGAATCCAAAAAGGTGGAAAGCCACTGGTTTAGACATTGCCTCCAGTTAACAGGGGGAAGGGGATTCTCTTCAGCCTATTATTGGTTTCCCCGGGTCTCGTCTCTCCCAAGAGATCTGTGAACTGACTCCGTGGCTCTGCAAACACTTCTTGCTGGACCTGGTCCCAGGGGAGTCAGAGGCAAAACTCTTACTGATCCCAATGGGACTGAGAGCTGTTCCTGTGGGCTTTCCAGGAGTTCCCCATCGACATTTTAAAAACAGCTGAGCTCTCCCTGGATCAGCAAGCCCCTCTTCCTCCCAGAAGCACACAGCTGAAGACAGCAGCAAAGTTAACCTAGCAGAAAGAGTACCGTAACTTTCCCTTTTCCTCAGGATATTCTGCAGGAGGGGATGGCTGCACCCTCTGTAGGAAGAGTTAATCACAAGACTGGAAACTTTTATTTTTAAAAAATTTTTTTTACTGCCTTTCTGCCATTAGGCTGGTGTCACTTTTCAGCAAGATGAGAGGTTCATTTGTAATTAAGTTTGCAAGCAGAAACATTGACATGCAAATACTTTCCACGGGGCAAGGTTTATTCTCGGTCGGCTTCAAAACCTATTTGAACTTTCACTTTTCTTTGCAGCGCAAAATGCAACGTGAACATGGTTTCAGTTCCCTCTTAAGGTCTATTTTGAGGAGGGGGGAGTCAAATTCAGCTCAGGCATAACTAACGGGGTTGGCTGTGCTTACATGCAGTATGTTTTATGTAGGTGTACTATTAAAGCTCACTTAACAGTTATGCAAAAATGGAGACGGTTCTGCCTTGATCTTGCAAAGCTAATTAACTGGTCCTTTTCCACTAATCCGTCTAGAATCATAGGGGCTGATTTCGCTGCAACCGAAATAACTCCACTGAGCTTCAGGGAAGCCGCTCTGATTTATCCTGGGTTATGCGATAGAAGAATCGGATCCATCTCATCCTCGGTCTGGTTCCTGTAATCTGGACAGGTCCCCTGAGAAGTCAGCGGGACTCTATGCAGTTGCACCGTGCAGCTCATGTGGACACAACGCCACGATGATCAAGGCCTCAGAGCCTCTCTCTCTCCCCCCAATGGAGAGGAAAGGTCAAACCTTACTTGTAAGCAAGGCAAAATCTCAGGTCTTTGCTAGCACAGTCCAAGTTTGGATTGCATTTTAATTTCTGGAGCTAGTGTGTCTATATTTCCCTGAGTTTTAGGGCCTTTCCTGTCTTTGAACCACTGGCAGCCTGCAGCTAAGCAGAAGGCTTCTGCGAACCAGCAAGGTGTGAGCACACTGCTGGATGAGATCAGATGGCCGAAGTAGCTGAAGGAGTAGGAGGATCGGTTATCTGGTAACGTTTTGAAATACAGGATCACTCCAGCCTTGAAAAAAAATAAAGGGACCAACCATTAAGGAAGCATCAATGCACCCAGGAAATAAAAGCAAGCTCAGAGCAAACCCAAGTTGCACGTTGTATTAAAATCAGTTCAGTAATAGCCTAGTAGTTAGGACAATGAGAAAATTGAGAACTGGGTCCCACTTCTTGCATTGCTATTGATTTAGTATACAACTTCAAGCATGTCACTTGAGCTCCTTGTCTGTATTTCCCATCCTCCCCCTTGCCTATTTAGATGATCAGCCTTTCAGGGAAAGGATTATTTCTTACCAGGATGTCTGTACAGCACCTAGCACAGTGTGGCTCCAATCTCAGCTTAGACTTCATGCAAAGCATTGCTAATAAATCTCAAGTGTTGACTCTTCCTATTACCTCCTACAGCCTCTGAGGGAAACAAGCATCTCCACCCATCCACCTACATAAATACCCAGTGTGCACAGCTGGAATTAATCATCACATTAGCCCAACAACAAGGGTTCATTAAGACCAAAGGTGACTTCAATTTAATTGCAATATACTTGGCAACCGGAGACTGGATCCAGTTTGCAACACCTAATGGGAGGTCTGGGTTATAGAAGGAAAAATTAATGGCTGTAAAAATATCCAAACAAGATATTTGTGCACGTGTTGCCGTAAAAGTCAGAGCCAACCAGTTTTTAAATAAACAGTTTGGGTTTTTAAATATATATTAGTGTTCTTGTAATGGGGATATACGTGAGTGAGAATATATGCAAGCACATAACACAGAACCTGGTGGAGTCCCAGCTTTCTTTTCCCAACAAGCTACTAGAAGGGGAGTCTGACATGAGCTATATGTCCACCTCTGGCGCGGTTCGGTTCAGGCCAAGCCACCGAACATCTGTGTTGCTACCTGCATCATGGATGTCCCCGAAAGGACATTTGGAGGGTTATTGACTGTTTCTGAAGTATTTTGATGTTTGCATGGAGTGGGAGGTACGGGGTAAGTCTATTTTATTGGCTCAATATTTGTATGTATTTAGCTTTAATTTGCAATTAAAAATGCCCACCCAATAAGCTCTGAGGACCTTGGAGAAGGAATTAGCTGTGCCATCCACAAGTGACCACCCACCATCAATGAACCCTAATCCCTTAATGAATTGAGTCAGCCAAGAAATCAAAGAAACAAGTCAGCTCTTCTTTCCTCCCAGAATATCTCCTCAAAACTCTGCCCAATAAGTACTTCTAAGATATTACTTACATGGTGGTACTTAAATATATGACACTAGGCACACGGTGGGTTTCGACATCACGGGACCAAGTCAGTCTGCAATATGCATAGTTTTATGTCTCTTTTTCCCAGATTGTGTTCTATCCTGGGGGGCATTTGGATCTGGGTTTGGAAATGGACCCTTGGGGGGAAGAAAATGAAAGCCTGTAGCCTGGGTTTCACCTCCTATAGCTTTTGGAGGCAGCTTATATTTTGTATTAGAGGATCCCATAACTATTGATGATCCATCTTATAGGACGTAACCTTATTTTCCAGCAGGAAAGAGCCCTGGTTCGGAGCGTCAGGGGAGATTGGGAGAACTGGAATGAGGGGGAGTGATGGATGATTTGCAGCTGAAAATTGCTTGCTCTGTTGCTTAACTATGAACTGGAGGTGCTCAGTCACAGTGTGATGGGGACAGCAGATAGACCCGAAGGGACTAGAACAGGAAAGGAAGGATGGGACTTGAGAGACTGTGGTTCAGTTGCTGTCTCTGCCGCAGGCTTCCTGTATTGCCTTGGACAAGTCACTTAACATGCAGTTACAGTCCAAACTTAGGTTGGTCCAGGGTGTGAAAAGGCAGGAGTCCTGGACTGACATAGTGGTGGCAATAGAGACCTCAAGTGCAGATACTATGGTACCTGCTTAAGCCTGTAGCGTTTGCTTTGCTCCTGGGAGGTACAAAGCTCAAGTGCAATGTAACGGCAAAGGGTAGACAGAGTTGGAGGACTAGACCCAATAAAACATGAGCATACCTACCAGCCAGGTGCTGCAACACCAATCTTCTAGGTGCCTTGTGTCCACATTTGGCCACTGAGGTGGTCCACGAAGCCCACAAGCAAAGTGGAGCTGCCTAGGTGTCTGCCTGCACTCCCACGTTTTCTCTGGAGATTGGGCATGGGACTTGGGTGTCTCCATCCACCCAGGGTCTAGAGCCCACACCTGGCTCCTGAAGTGGGTGATCTGGGTTCTGGACCATCCTCAGCCTCATGCCCGTAGGTCCTGTCTCCCAGAAGGATGTCTGAGCCCATAATCTAGCCTTTAGGCTCATCTTCAGTTAGGTTGGTGGGGGCCAGACTTCAGCTGGGCCACGGAGCAGAAAGAAATGCAAGAGGCATGGATGTGAAAAGGAGCCTGACTCTGTGGCCTACTGGTTGGAGCATTCACTGGAGGGGGAAGAGTCCTGGGTCCTGGTCCTTGCTTCCCCAAACCATGCCAAATAAAGTAGGATGGGGGCATGGACCTGACCCCAGTCTTCTCTCTCGCAGGTGAGTGACCTCATTGCTATGGTCCTGAATGCACTCTCTTTTGCTGGTTCCTGCATCCCTTCCAACACACCAGTCCAACTTCAGC